AGGAGAGAGAGAGGGAGGATGAAGTAGAAATTTTATCCAACAAGAAAGTTTATAAGATAATGAGAAGAAGAAGAGAATTACGGATGGCTGGGCAATCGGATGGAAAGAGAGAGTGACAGAGAGAGAGAGACAATAGAACCCAAGAGAGAGGCAATAGAACCCTAGAGAGAAAGACAGAGAGAGACGATATAAATTGAGAGAAAGATACAATAGAACCCGAGAGAGAGAGACAGAGAGCGGCAATATAACTACAGAGAGAGACACAATATAGCCCTAGAAGAGTCCACTGCATCACCTTGACGATACATGTACACAGGGAGTCTCATAGGTACCGTTATATCTAAAATGTGTGTGTGTGTGTGTGTGTGTGTGTGTGTGTGTGTGTGTGTGTGTGTGTGTGTGTGTGTGTGTGTGTGACAAACGAGGAGCAGCAAAAAGTTTCATTTCTTCAAATAACTTGTAATGACGCAAGATGTTTGATTCAGTGGTGTCCAAGACCATTTATGTAGTGTTTGGTGCTTATGCCGACCATATTTACAATATACCGTATATATATAGGGGAGCGGCAAAGTCCATAGTTAACCAGGAGATCTTGCTGAGAGACAATCAGGTAACCGATGGTAGACAGGTGGATATACTGTATATATATAAACACAGGATTCAATCACTAAAATCACCATGCACATTCACATAGGGATTTTGCCTCCCTTTGGGTGTAATTTATTTAATCCAAAGAAAAAGAAAATATATTCACGAGTTATCCCTTCAATTAAATTCTTTTTATATTTACAGAAAACTGCTATTGTTTAATGGGACACTAAATTAAACATAGTTACATCCGATTCTTGGGTATTATTTATTTGAAAAATAATATTACTGTGCAAGTAAAGATGCGACAGATACTGTGAAATATTGAAGTACTGTTAACACCGAAATTTTTCTATGATTCTCCAAAATATCACTATTTTATGTTACCTGGTGTCTACGGTCAAGCGAAAATAAACGTTCTTTACATCTATCAAGAATTTGGTACAAGTACCTGACTACATCGAAACCAATGAAGGTATTAAATAGTTTAAAGCTAAAACTAAATAATACATAACAGAAGAATCTACAGCAAGAAAAAAAAACTGAGTTTCTATATTATTGACCACAGAATAGCCTCGGATAGTCCAAGCGCAATGTATGTTTGTTGAATTTATCAAAAGACTTTCACTATTACTACTGTAGACATACTATTACTGATAGGAGACCAAGAGTAAGCCTATACAAAGGAACCTCCTGGAACTGTTCTTATTCAAATTGTCTTGCAGTTTATTATTGCTCTGCCTGTATATCTGCTCTGTTTTGGCGCACACAGGAAACTTTATACTCCCACTGCCAACGTACACCGTACACCTACCTATAGTATAGTGTATACCCATGCTGAGCTGTATAACTGCATAGAGTTTATATACATACTTATCCATTTATAAACCTGTGTTATTATTATTATTATTATTATTATTATTATTATTATTATTATTTTTATTATTTTTATTATTTTTATTATTATTATTATTATTATTATTATTATTATTATTATTATTATTATTATTATTATTATTATTATTATTATTATTTCAATAACAACAAAACGTAAAGTGTTAATTATAAATGGCGTCTATGGTCGTATATATAATAATCTCAAACGGACACAACACCATTTGATAGTTCAAATTACCTCGTTGGTTAACCCGCACAGATTACCTTTGTAGCACCATCTATTGGAGTAATAATTAACTATAGCGAGAAACAGAAAACTGACAGAAAACGTTTGTAGGGGTGACGAAGGTATTTGAGAATGGCTTTGCTATTAAGGAGTATTTATATGTTGTAGTGCACTAAAATAATAGTAAATAGTGAGCTGTATGATGCATATATAAGTCTAATATGAGGTAAAATGGAGGAAGGGAGATTGAACATATGCTCTTAGTGCAAATTTAGGGCAAAAGAGGAGAAGTTGACGGAATATTACGATATGTTTGGTAACCATCGTCTGTGTTTGTGTGTTTTGTGTGCGGGTATATACTGGGAACTGCCACACACACACACACACACACACACACACACACACACACACACATATAATGGGCAGTTTTTTAAGTGGTGTAGAGGAATCACCCTCAGAAGATAGATTAAAGGGAATAGGAATATATGATACCTTACTTCTTGGTGATAGATAATAGAAAAACCCCAATATATGACAGATAATTGTACAATGACGTATTATATAAGCATTATAAGGGGTAGAGTCAGGGGCTCTTCATATACCACAGCCAGGATACAGTTTACGTGGGATATAACTTGGTATCTTTTACCTGGTCATAGCGTCATAAGTCCACTGATATATATGATATGTATTTTTCTTATATCACGTACAGTATCCTGCTATCCCTGGGCCTTAGTCTCAAGCATATGTAAACTATTGAGGGAGAGAGAGAGAGAGAGAGAGAGAGAGAGAGAGAGAGAGAGAGAGAGGGGGGATAATTAAAGGACCGATTCTCTCTCACAATATAATATTTCTTAAATTTCTTCACTATTTTATGAAATAAGCTTGGTTATGGTGGCCTTAATCAGCATAACTAAAGAACCAGTTAAAGTAGTAATATAAATAACTACAATAGTTTCCCATTAACTTGAAACTCTAAGAAAATGGATTTATGAGAGAAAATGAAAAGTTTATCGGAGACTTTGATATACAGCAGTTGGCGTTTAACTATTATTATTATTATTATTATTATTATTATTATTATTATTATTATTATTATTATTATTATTATTATTATTATTATTGATCTTTCAACGAGCAGTTAGTCTGTTCTTTGTAACTTTATGATCTTTGTTGTTCAATGTTAGTAAAGGACATAATAATGAGAGGTACAGCGTTACTGTAGTACCATCAATGCCTTTCGTATACTGCTTATAACTTTATAGTAACCACCGAAGCATCTGGAACCCCTGGGGACCACCCTGGCACCCACTTGGATCTCATAGGACCCAACTGGGTACCCCGAGTACCTACTATGACCACTCATAGACTCTAGCTAGGGAGTCTAGTGTAGGTCACCCAGAGTCTCCCTGGTAGCCTCTGAGACTCCCTGAAAGCTCTAGGACCCCCTGTGACCCCTTAAAACCTCCCTGGATCCAGTTGGAATCCAGATGGGCTCCATTGATGCTCCCTTGAATCTCCTGTAATCCCTGGAGACGCCTCTAAGGTCTATAATGAGGCTTATTTGGGCCCCTTAGGCTGCCTGATAACCCGCACGACCCTACTGGATTCCCCTGGCACCCCTAGGACACAGGGGCATCTTTTGGGTTACTCTGGAATTCACTGGGATGCTTATTTGTTCTATTGGCCCTCTGAGACCTCCTATGCCCCGATGGAAATCAGAGCATTCCCCTAAGAGATCCGTGGGTCCACCCTGGATTCCCTTGTGTAGGAACCCCTCGAACCCCCTCTCTGGCGCGCCCTGAGACCCTATGGAACCCATTGTTAGCCTATGGGTCCCCATGGGATACTCTAGACTCACCATGGCACACCCTAAGGACTACATCGAACCTCCATAGAACCTAATGGGATTTCCTCGGACCCCTCTAGGTCTTTCGGACCCCTAAGAACCCTTAACATCCCCTGGAACAGCCACCCCCCCCCCTCCCTTTCTGAATACCTGAGAACACATAGGACCCCGATCCGATGCAGTGGCATCCTGTGGGAACACCTGGATCCATTTGGAATCCTTGGGGACCCATACGATTCACGACGACCCACTAGCGCCCTCTAGGACCTCTTAGGCCCCTATTTTGAACTCTCCGGAGCCCTTCTGGCACCAGGGTCCCCGTAGATCCCCATTTAATCCCTATGATCCCTTGGGACCACCCACTTTGGGTCTCTAAAACCCCTGAGAGCCCACGGAACCACCTGGCACCTCCAGTGACCCATTGTAACAGCATAGGATCCCCGGGGACTCGTAGAAACCCCGGGAGGACTTGGACTTCCCTGGGACCAAAGGGTTCCCCTTACAGCTGTAATTCCATTTGTTGTGTCCCACGGGCAGATTCTTACATTTTGTAATTTTACTTTATTTATCCTCTCAGCCATTAAGACTAGAGATAACAAGAAGCAGAATTATATAGTTGTCTTTAACAGCAGTTTGTGACAGAAAAGGTCAACATATTATTTATCAGTGTCATCCATAAATGATATTGTACATAGACTAGAGTAGCTATCTGTATGTAATTTTTGTCCTTCAACATTTAAGGTCTCTTAACATGTACTCTATGTGTGGGCCATACACCAAAAAACAAATATCTTATATTAAGAAAAGAAGATCTTCCTATTGTAGTGAAGAAAGAATACTTGGTTGAAAGAGAACGTACACATTGAATTATCTTGGACAACTTATTCATACAACTTAAAAAAGAGAGTTTCCGCCATCAAATTCTTAATTTTCAATTGGAAATGACGTTTAAATAACTGAAGTAGATACACAAGCTAGTCTGACAGTCTCCCTCAACAGCTCACCCGCCGAAGTTTCCTTCATCTTCCCAAACATAAGACTTATAAGGTGTTTTAGGCGTAACTAGGCTCGGGTAGAGTAAATATTCCATAGCATATATACAGTAGGCATCACAGTCATGGTCACCTCAGTTCAGATGTTACGAATCTTTTGTAATTTCTCCTAGCGGCCATATCCTCAACATCAACACAAAGATTAGCGAACTAATTAATCAATCACAATATATGCAAATTTTTCGCCCCAACTTTTCCTCAAAAATTATTTCTAAGCTTTAATCAGCAGCATACTGTACTTGAGAAATTATAAGTAACTCAAATTCATACAAAAGGAACTGTACCTAATGTTATATTGGGACGACATCAGCCCGACGTTTACATCTGTCAAATCCGTAAGTTCTGTTGTTTGTTGGTGACTCAGGAAAGAGAAGAACACAAACACACGTCTTTGTTGTAAGTTTATTACAGTGTTGCTGCTACCTGGAGAAGGCGGGACTGGAATGCAGATTATAACAAAAACTGAAGCATAGTTTTATGGTCTACATGTGAGGTGCTGATAGAGTGATGGTTTTTAACGAGGAGTTCCACTTTTAGATGTTTGGTGGTGGACGTTGTGGAATCACCTCTGATCTCTTCCTTCTGTAGCTGACAAAGACACACTCATGACTCACTGTGTTAGAGATGGGGCTCCCGGGAAGGTATTACATTATGATAGATGGGTTTGGTCATTGTCTCAAGAACGACACAGTTGACAAACCTTAATTCCCAGTCTTATAAATTACAATAGAAATCAAAGAGCGTGTTTACTACTAACATGAGCTCCTACAACCTATCGTGGTGTGAGTCAGAGGCACAAAGCATCTGCAATTAATTCGGGAAGATATTTGTGTAAAAAAAAACAAGAAACAACTTCCTGTTTTTAGTGAAAGTACATTTATCTCTATTAAAAAGAAACTCTTGACTTTTTCTCCTGACAGAAGTATCCATGCATGTCTTACATATCTTTTGGATGACATGATGCAGTAATAGTATCAGCTTTGATGGACTGATAACTTCACAGCAATTAGTGATGGAAAACTGTGATTTGTGGTTCAGTGAAATGAATAACATGATGAATTTTCTGTAGATGTACATAACCTACCACAGGGTTAGGTAACGGGGTCCTCCATATCCTTACATTATATAGGTTTACTGGCCAGACGAGCTTCTCCTATCCTACACTCACTAGCTGTTGGGTTGCACCGTCAAGTTGTTGTTTTTGTAATATTGAGCTAAAAGAATTATAAAGTCATCACTCTTATGTACCGTTACTGTACCACTACTTTATATTTTATATATTCAAAATGATATCAGAGTTCATTTCTTGAATAATTGATCGTTTTGATTCTTTTTTCTGTACATAACAATAGAGTTTGAGCAAGTGTTCTCTAGCAGCGCGGGAGGAACCTACTGAGGGATGCCAGTCTCAGATCACGTCGTATCAGTAGCGAGCTTCAGGTGGCTCCTCAGAGAGAACAAGAAGCAACATCAACTCTGTTTAAGACAATATGTAAACCAGCCCCAATGACTAGATATCTTAGGAACGAGAAGAGAAGAAGAGAGCTCACTACAAAAAAAAAGTTTGTGAAAAAGATATGTATGTGTGTGTGGCACATATACAAGTATATATGTAATACCAACATCAAACATTTATAACACAATCAATATGAATATAATACCGCAGTATATACAGTCACATCTAGTTAATTCATTGTACAGTTATTATACATACAAGCTTATCTTACAAGCAAAACACACCATTAGTGACACCATCGTGCAGTAAACGGCAGTACAACTTACGCGTCTTGTGAACATTACTTACTGGTGAAGACAATAAACCACACAAGAGACATTATTTTCACTGTGGCCAAAACATTGGTATGGGAGGGAGCCACCTGTCTTGAATATTAACCATTTATTAATTTATTACGTTTTGTGGCACTATGTGACTATTATTTTCTAATCTGTATATGACAGCTCAGTATATTCATTACATAACTGCCTTATTAAAAAAGAGTATTGATTCAATTAATTTTAAAGTAAATAGAGTGGGGACTACACCACCCGCTGCTAAGTAAACTCCTTCATTTATTTTTTCTTTTTGTCAACAGAATGTTAAATCAATGAAACTGTCAGAATAAAATTTTCTTATTTGTTAACATGGGTAGTGCGAGGCAGTTGGCCCCATACCCGGTCACAATGCTTTGACCCAGTAATCCAAATCTTTTTCTGCGTGTCGTAGCGTCGAACACACACGTGAACATCTACTGACTCTCACTGTCCAAATTCACTCTTATTCTCATTACGTATTATAGGTTCGGTTTTTCGTACTTCAAACGTCGTACTGGTGTTGGGTGTTAGGCCAATGCTGCCTGGAGAGCGAGCCGGGGTCACACTAGCAAGTGTTTTTTCTTGGGCAAAGGTTGTTGGTGGTGGTCATTGGCCGTGTGGCGCTTCCTGGCGGTGGTGGCGGGCTGTGTCAGGGTGGTGGTGGAAGTGGTGGTGACATTGGGTGTGGGTGATCCCTCTGCCTCTGAAACATCCACAGACTTGGTCTCTTCCTCCTCATCATCGTCGTCTCCGAGCAAACGTTTAACTGTACTCGTTTCTTCTTCTCTCTTTTTTGTGAGGCTCACCAAGGCTTCTTTATTGTCCTCGCTAGGGTCCGGGGAGGGACTTCGCGACACGTCACGGGAGTCAAACTCATGGTGATGACTGTAGGGAGACTCATGGCTTGGGTCTCCCACCAGGGCGCGGCGCAGGTGCAGTGGTTCAGGAGAATCCCACGTTGAGTCCCGCGGAACAAACATTCCGTTGATTTCATAAACATCAGAAGTGTACCGTAAAATACTCCGACGTTCCCTGTCTGGCCTCGGGTGTGAACTTCTCTCACCATCACTGGAGGAGGAGGAAGTGGGTGGTGGAGGTGGAATTGTAGGGACCGAACAGGGCTGAGGTACTGATCCTGAACTCGTAGAAGCACCTACAGGGCCATTGATCACAGACCCGGTCCGACAGGCTTCTTTACGGGGAGTCGTGCGTGGTCGACCCGGTGGCGGCTCTTTCTGGGGGGCTGGCCGGGACTCGGGTGTGTTGGTGCGTGGGAAGAATGGTATAGGGATGGGGATGGGAATGGGAATGGGGATAGGGATAGGTAGAGGACAGGGCAGGAGAACAGTCACGGGAGGTAGTAGTGAACCATGCGTCTTGGGCAGCCCTGTCGGGGGAGGAGGGACAGATGTTGGTGGTGCATTAGTGGGCGGGGCTGGTGCAGGCGGGGCTTGCAACAATGGATGACGCAGGGGCGGTGGGCGCAGCAACTCGGGGCGCTGGAGCAGCAGGTGTGGAAGAAGAGATCCTCGGGGAAGATCAGGAGGCAGCATGTGTGGCAGCAGAAGCGGCGCACCTCCCACCATGGGCAGCAGGCCACCCAGTCCTCCGCCCAACCCACCCAGGGACAAACCCGGTGGCTGGGCAGTCGGGGGAGGAGACCCGGCTCTGCTGCCCTCACCACCCATGTCACTGTTGCTGCCAATGTCCCTTTCTCCAGCGATCTGGTCTTGCTGCTGCTGCTGCTGCTGTGACTCTAGCTGCCTCACGCGAATCGTCGGCATCCTGATAGGCTCGTCGGTCTTTTCAGTGTCAGAGTGAGCACCGCGGGCGAGCTGAAGTGACGCCCTCACGGTCCTGGGTCTTCCCACCTCCCTGACACCCTCCCGCCGGTCTCTCAGCCGTGGGCGGCCATAGCGAGGCGTGGGTGGAGGAGGACCTGGGCTTCTGGTCTCTGCTGACCTTGATGGTCCCTGACGAACTGTAACTGGCGAGCCTCTGGCGAGTGAGGGGGAGGCGCGAGGTTCATTCCTGGTGGAGGACTGTGTGGTAGTCAGGTTAACAGGTTCGGAAGGGTCAGGAGACGCTGGCGGCGGCGAACAGGGAGGCTGGGGAGAGCTGGGGGAGCTCACTTGTATCTCGCTCTCAGGCAGAGAGTCCTGGAAAAGACAACGATAAGTTATGAGACAGTCTTCCTAAAGATCCACTCAATCAACAAAACTCTAAGGGGTGTATGTAGCGTGTCCGATCTACCACCCGCTACCACACACCAACACACACCTACCACACACTAACACAGACCTACCACCCACCACCACCACATCACCTACCACCCACCACCACACACCTACCACCACCACCACCTACCACCCACCACCACACACCTACCACCCACCACAGACCTACCACCACCACACACCACCCCACCACACACACCACCACCACACCACCACCATCACACACACCCCACCACCACCACATCACCTACCACCCACCACCACACCTATCACCCCACCACACACCCACCCACCACCACACACCTACCAACCACCATCACACACCACCCACCCACACCCACCACACACACCATCACCCACCCACCACACACCTACCACCCACACCACACACACTACACACTACCCACACCTGCACTACATCACCACACACCTACACACACTACACACACGTGCACTACGTCACCACCACACACCTACCACACACCTACCCCACACGTGCACCACATCACCACACACCTACCACACACCTACCCCACACGTGCACTACATCACCACACACCTACCACACACCTACCCCACACGTGCACTACATCACCACACACCTACCACAGACCTACCCCACACGTGCACTACATCACCACACACCTACCACACACCTATCTCATATCTGCATCATAGTCACCACACACCTAATCATACCTGAGCTTTTGACAACCTGAGCTCTTTGAGTACCTGTTCTAGACCCATCACATTTTATACCTCATTGCCAGTAAGGGGGCAGTGTGGATACAGCATACTAGATATATAATAAATGCTCCTACCTCCTCCTCCCCGCCCCACCTCCTCCTCCCCCTCTTCTTCCCCTTTTCCTCCATCTATTGCTATTACTACCACTATTTTTTTTTCTTTTTTCTATCAAAATGGCCTCCAGCCTCCCCCAATAGCCACAACCTTCGCCGCCATTTTATTACCTTAAAATTAACTATCATAATACATAAGTAGCTACCCTGGCTGTGTTGAGAATAATAAATAACAATAAAAATAATAAACTAATATTCACCCCTTCGTTGGTTTGGCCACAGTCTCGAAGCCACAGGTCAGGAGTAATGAGGCCGCTGGTAGAGGCCGGCTTGAGGTCATTGAGGTGTGGATGCATCTGGAGGTGAGCTTCTGTCTCCCGGCAAAATATCTGCATCTTGTATTGGTTGAGGCACTTGTCACTAAGGAGAGAGAGAGGGGGAAATGTTGACTCACGTATAAAATTAAGAAAGATGATGATGAAGAGAGAGAGAGAGAGAGAGAGAGAGAGAGAGATGCTGACTCACGTATAAAATTAAGAAAAATATAATAAATCATCTTGCTTATTAAGATTATTTACCTTCTAAAATCGTTATATTAATTCAACTTCATTACAAAAAATAATAATAATGAAATATCCTAAAAGTAAGAAAATATAACGATTTCTAGTTGTTGAAAAAAAAATGTATGCTTGATATTTATGTCATTATATGAGGGGGAAATGTAAAGTAACTCTCTGGTACGAGGGGGAAAATTATGCGTATGAGGACGAAGGAAAATGAACAACAACAAAAAAGTTTATGAACCAGGGAGGAAAAATTGTAGTCCTCAGGGCGAAGAGTAAATAAAGGCTATTTAAATGTGTAAACCGGCAACTGGTATAGTGTTGCCACGTCATTATGACTTTCGTAATTGTTGCAACACTGATACTGTAAGACGACCACGTCCCTCCGTCCCTCCCTCCCTCCCTCCCTCCCTCCGTCCGTCCGTCCGTCCGTCCCTCCCTCCCTCCCTCCGTCCGTCCCTCCCTCTATCCCCCCCTATGATCTCATCCCTCCCTCCGTCCCTCCCTATGATCTCATCCCTCCCTCCCTTCCTCCATCCATATGACCACATCCCTCCTCTGACCACTTCCCTCCCTCCATCCATCGACCACCTACCTCCCCCCCCCTCCTCGTGCCGTACCCTGTATCCTTCCCTCCTCTGATCACCTCCAGAAAAAAACTAAAGCAACAATTAAAAACGTCAACACGTTATAGCCAGTCATTCACTTCTGACACCCAACGAAACAGCGAACCAAGTCTCATCACAGGAAGAAGTAATGGAAGAAACAATTCAAGTGGTAGAACCATAGATTCAAACCCCCAAATGAAACACTAAAGTGATTCAAATCATCAACTGAAACACCAAATCGTATTTCAACAACAGGTAAAAACACCACATGAAGGTGATGACACACCTCAACATCACCCACGTGTGTTTACCCCTAAGAAGCCGAACGATTGGTAAACTGATGCTTTGGTATTATTAACAAAGTACGACTTTTCTAATTGTAACCGAAAGCGAACGAAGCCCTGAATCAAAATAATTAAAATCAAGCGTGGTAGTATCTTAGTTTACATGTTCAATTAAACCTGCAAATGAGCGAGTCTTAATGACGCCGGGGAGAGGAGGAAGGGTTGTCCGGATGAGTGCGTGTGGCTCTGGCTTAGACAATATGATCTTGTCTAAGCTTTAACTCTTTAAGGGAGATGATTATATCTAACCAAACAGGCTTATGATTATGATGTTTTAACCCTTTGAGCACGATGATCTAACATTTAACCCTCCGAGGACAATGATTTAACCCTTAATCCTTTGAGGATGATGTTTTAACGTTTAACCCTGTAAGGGGGATGGTTTAACACTTAACACTTTAAGGACATTGTTTTAATTCTTAGCCCTTTGAGGACAATGATAAAACCCCGTGAAGACAATTATTTAACTTTTCAAGGTAATGATCTAACTCTTAACCTCTTAATAATGATGAATTTACCCTTTAAAGACAATGATTTAATAACATAACACTACTGTCACTCACCTACAAAACTGTAACTGGTGATCCCCGTCCGTAAAATCGACGTAGGTGACTGTGGGTCTAACGTGGCGACACCAATCACACACTTTACTCTTCTTGAAGGAGGCACGACGACACTGGGTAAAGCAGACCTCAGAGCAGAAGTGTCGGTCGCCGCTAGTGGTAGGTAACTGGAAGGCGCTCCCTCCTCTCTGTCCTCCACTGGTACAGACGCGGCCACACCAAGAACACAATACCAGGCCTGATCCTCCACCTAGCACGCCTCCGCCGCTGT